TTATGAAGTAAATAAGCCTATTATTAGAGTGCAAAAGAAAAATGTCTCAATCATATTTTGAGCTAACCTGAGATTCCAGTTTGTATTATATATATCTGTACAGCTTGTGCAGATTGACACTAGCTGATATTTTTGGCGCAAAATTACATCGGCCTGTCTTGTGTGACTGCTAGTATTACATGTTACACTACTTTTAAATGAAGTTAATATTCTTCAGATAGAATATTATTAGCCTTGGAGATACCTTTAACTGGAAATACAACCCTTCCCCTCTGCCCTGCAAAAAATCCCAAATCAAAATTTATTTCATACAGTTCTACCTGTTTCTAATATACCCATCGCCATGGTACCAATGATACTTTACAGAGGCATGTTATCATATATGATCAGTAAATTAGTCATCTCTACACATAGCTGTTTTTCCCAAAGGTTATTCTGTTTGCTAGAACCTAAAACATTTATGTTGGATTATAATACCATTTTTACAAATATTTAAAGATACAAAACAAAGTTTTGGTTCTGCTGTATTTTGTAACCCTTTTTTTTTTTTTACTTCTTTTTATACATTCAAGGAACTTCAGTAATGGCTGAGCAATTCATTAAATGTCATTTCTATCCCCCTTTTTTTCAAAGCAAAGCATAAAAGCTTTTATTAGTCCATGGCTTTTTTTCCTTAATAATAATACTGTTTGCATCTATTTCAACTGATTTTTTTTTTTTTTTATTCAGATAAAGCCTTGCGTTCACAACCAGGTTTTATTAACTCTCATTAGCATGGGATTTCATTTTCTAAATTCAGTTCTTAGCTTTTCTTTTTGCTTTTGGACATAATTTAATCTCTTAGCATGCGAGGTGTAGGGAGTGCTGACATCAAAATAAGCTGGCGTGAAACAGTACATAGTATTGACATTTTCATTTCCCTCCTGAATTGCCCATAACTCTGAAAAAGTCCTGAACATTAAAAGCAAAACACCAAAAGATGTCACTTGCCTACCTGTTTTTGTTACGTTGCTGTTGTCGCAATATGGCAACTACATAAATACACACAGAGATGACTGGCTTAAGCATTAGGACACCTGTTCAATAAAATAAGGACTGCTCCCTACTTCTGAGCTTCTGATGAAAGACTGCAACCTCCTTGGGATGTCAGACAACAGCCTGATCAGGACCAAATGTTACAAATGGCAGGTCCAATCTGTGGACACTCCAGTTGTGGCCCTCAAAGCCACTCCAACATAAGCCAGGTATACTCTAAGGCTAAGAACAAACATTCAAAAAGCCCAAGGCAGAAGCAATCTGTTTCACACTTTATTCTAGGCCCCAAAGTTTAAGTCAAGAGAGAGCTAAATAGATGTTTCCCTGGGGAGGTTGTGGCCTGGGCAGGGGTGGTCCTGGATAAGTGGTATCTTGGTGTTATCGGTGTTTTGGGTGAAGCCCCTGTCCTGTCCTACCTGTCCTGCTTTCTCCCTCCTCACTCTGCTGACAGCTGCCCCGACCTGAGCCAGCATAGCTGCGAGGGCTGCACAGTGGGTGCTACTCCCTGCCCTGCTGGTGTGGCAGCCACAGGCAGGAGGCAGGGCTTTGTTGGAGCTCAGGAGCAGCCAAGCATGGGCCTGTGCTTTTCAGATAGACAGGGTTTGTGGTACGCAGATATAGGCTCTTGGTAGGCTTCCTTTACCTGTTGCCTACCCTCCAACAAGGGCCAACTCTTTTTCTCTCTCTTTTGGTAGCTGCTATACCCAATTCGCCACCCTTCGGGAAGCTGTAGCAGGCTGCCTGCTTCAAAGCCATTCCTCCTGCATTGGGAGGGGATCTGGTATGGATAGACCAGTGTAACCAAAATGATTAAGTCTGATACCTCATTGATCCAGGTCTGTTTTAGACCAGGATCTGCCATTTTTAAACCAGTCTTTGTGCCCTGAACTTCTGTATGGTTTAAACTGGTTTCTGAAGACTTGTTCCGGTTTGTGTGTAATGTCTGTATCTGGCCCAAGTGACTCCTGTCTCTTCTGCTGTAGCAACTCAGTAGGTCCCCTTGGCTAGGGACAGACATTAAAAAAATCCTGAGCCTGAATTGATTCCATCTTTGCAGGTTAGTCTTTGCATGCTAGGCTAAATTGGTTTGTAACTGTAAAGACATCCCCCCTGTACTGAATAAATGCTAGCACATGCCTGTAGTGGCTCAGGCTAGAAGCTGGAGGGCACATAGAGCAGCCCTCCCTTTCCTTCCACAGTGGTGAGCTGAGCGGGGCATGGCCAGGCCCTGACAGGACACTCTGATTAGGGAGGGGTTCCCCTCCCCTCCCGACCAGTCCCACAGGGAGTTGATAACACAGTGTTTATCACCCCTGATTCTGCTTATCAGCCCATTAAAAAAAACAAACAGCCTCTCTCATTAGTTCAAGCACTTCCTAAACAACTTTTCCCAAGGAAGGAATGGAGGGACATTACCAGCTACCTGTTGATTAGCTCCAAGAGTTGTAAGCTGACACTGTCCTGTCTGTCTTTGTCCCATCTGCCACAGCCTGAACTGTAGCCAGCATATGGTATGATAGCTAATGCTGAGAGGTGTCTGTGTAAGGCAGAGGGGATGGGGGCGGGGGGGTCCCTGCTTCAGCCGGGAGTGGTGAGGAGGAGGGGGGAGCAGGAGGAAGCTAGGCAGATGCCTGCAATCTCTGCCAGAGATGCATCCAGGGAGCAGAGGGGAGGGGCCAGCTCTGCTGGGCTGGAGCAGAGAGCAGAGTCCCACCCAGAGTTGCAAAGTGTCTGGGATGCTGGAGGATTCTGATTTAACTTAAGCCAGGAAAGAAGGGGTTTGGGACAAACATTGCATGAACCGGTTTGACCCAAAACAATAACGTCTGATACTACAGTCAACAAGTTTATCTCAAACCGGTTTCAGCCATTTTCAAAGTGGTTTATGTGCACTGAACCTCTGTTCTGTTACAGGTTTAAACCGGTTTCTGATTACTTAAACCAGTTTATGTGTAATGTCTGTCCCTAGCCCTGCTGGCTGCCTCCTACATTCCAGCAGGAGGAATAATTAGCTCTGTCTGCTTCCTTGTCTACTGCATAACCTCTTGGAGGATTAGGATAGGTTCACAACCAGCTCAGCCTGCCCCTAGGAATAGATCCATCAAAGGATGGCCTTCCTCTACCACACAGCTGTCCTGACGAGCCTGAGAAGGGAAGCAAGAAGCAAAATCCTTACTTTACAGTACTTTAATTCTCTTCCACTTGCAAGTAAATGCCGCCTGTAGGAAGGTTATCTTCCCCACAGGACATACCCATACGCTGAGATCAACAAGACTCTTTATGGTTATATGTTTTTGCAGAATCATGGTCTGCATTTTGTGCCTGCATTTTATTGCAGTCCTCACTCATTTCTAATTGTGGTGTCATCAGTTAATTTGTTCCCTGTTCTAATACCACACTCATTCTCAGTCAGCTTGAAGCTGGAAGTTACCACTCTAGCAAGACCTGCTGAAATGCCAAAAGATATTTTATAAAATATTTACTTCATGAAAATTTTGCTACAGCGCCATCTATTTATTTGCATATTATCCCTGGTATTTTGTCTTGCTCCAAGTGTTCATCTTCAACATGAACATAATCCTTTTTTTGTAGGATCACAGTTTGTTGGTTGATTTCTGGTTGAAATAGAAAAACAAGTAAAAAATTATGTTACGAAATCCTGGGAAACTTTCACCCAAGCAGAAATTGTTCAGACGACAGAAACAGCACATATGCCAGAGCCAATTTAGTATGGCCTTCTCAAAAAATATTAATGAAATGTGCATTGTAGGAGCCTTATAAAGTCATTAGCTTTGAAGTTGAAATGATTCTGATTTTTTTAAGGCTTAGGGCATTATGTGGGCGTTTGAGAAGGGATTCAGAAGAAGAAAATGGATTGCTAAAATAAATAATCTAATTTGCATGCATGTACTCTGAGTTATGGACACAAGGGAAGAGAAACAGATGTTTGTTTCTGCTTCTGGAGATTGAACCATACAGACACATTGGGTTATCTTTTGCATCATTTGAGTGATGCGTAGTGGCACCATGCATACAGCAACAGAGAATATGATGCTGCTGGTTCAGTATCCCAACCTCTCTCTTACTTCTCCAGTTTTTCGAGCACCGTGATGAGGTAAACTGACAGGCCACTCCTTCAAAATTCATTTTGAATAGACGCTGTAGTCTTCATTTCATTAACTCCTTCTGTTCAGGTTGGTTTGTTTTTTGACTGCTTTGGCCTTCATCTTGCTCTCTCTTCTCCTTTCCAGGTGGTTCTAGCCACTTAAAGAAACTGATTTGCATGCGTCTCGTATGTCAGCTCTCCAGTAATAGGAACTGTAGCAAAACACCATGTCAATAAATTAGAGGGAAAGCATTTTATGTTCATGTTTTGCATAGTCAAGTTTCAGTGTCCGTTGTCAGGGGGGTTGAATGCTCAATATCCTCTGTGCAAGTATTGAAGCTTTATCCAGTGGAATGAATGCCTGAACTACAGTGTGAATGATGACGAGGTGTTACTCTGTAGTTCAAAATTGGCTGTCAGTGAGACAGCTGCCAACACACAAATCCAAATACTGTACTGTAAGGAAAGCAAGGGGTTCTCATGCTTATAGCTGTATCTGCATGCGTACCCCAGTCACGATCGCGATTAATCAAATGGCACTATAAGGGCAATACTGCAGGGTACTGAGCATCATCCAGGAAATAGCAAGTCCTTTCCACTTCCATAATATCAGTGGAGATGGAAGGTCACAGGTTTGGCTTCATAATGCATTTGTGGGGACATCAGCTGAAGCAGACATGTCTTCAAAGGTGGACAGGACATTTGGAAGGACAGAATCTAAAGAAGAGAGAAATATTTAAACTTAAAATTAGTAACTTTGAAGTCCTATGGTCCTTAAGACCCAAAAAGTTTGAATACTTGCTGAAATCCAATTGTTATGAAACAAAAAAATTAAGCAATTTCTTTCTTTTGTCTGTAGGTACTAAATGAAGCTGTGGGTGCACTGATGTATCACACTATCACTTTAACACGAGAAGACCTGGAGAAATTCAAAGCACTTCGAATAATTGTCCGAATCGGCAGTGGTTTTGATAACATTGACATCAAATCTGCTGGGGATTTAGGTATGATTATAAAAGACGCTATTTTACTTGAACATCTTAAACTTGCCACCAGAAATTTGATAACATATAAATCTTTGCATTAACATTTGCTGTATAATTTGTACTAACATAATATGTAAGCTGTATAATTTTCTCATCAAAGTATTTAAAAATCATTATGGAGATATTAGCATTAGCTAATTAAGTGATAATATTAATGGATTTGTGACAGGATGGCAGCCTGCCTGTTCAAGATAAATTCCAAGACTAAGACTGGGCTCTTTTTTATTTCTCTTTTCTCTTTTTTTTTTTTACCATAAACTGCAAACTGATGTTATTTATTTTAACTGCTGCAGACTGTAATCCAATCACAATTTATAAGCCTATCAATATTATAGCAAACTATTTAGTTTGAAGAAAATAAAAGGAGAACATTACCCATTATCTAGTACTTGTGTTGAAGTATAAAATCTAGTTCAGAAGACTTCAGCAAATCAAGCATATCAATTTTATGAGCGAATCAATCGTAATGACTAAAAAATAAACTAAAACACTAGGAAATTTGAAGCGAGGGTCCTCACTGTACCATAATTGAAAAACTGAAGCCTGAGTTCTTTCAAAACAATCAAAGCCTAAGCTATATTCTCAAAGTAAGTTATTTCTTCAATTTTTCTATGTAAGCTGGGAGAACAAAAAAAAATCCAAAGCCTTTTGTGTGTGTGTGTGTGTGTGTGTGTGTGTGTGTGCCTTAAATTTAGATCCCAGTAACATTTGTCCTCTAGTATAATACTTGCTGATGTAAATAGTCCCACTGAAATATAAAATGATTGTGGTACTGGGTAGTTTTCTAGTAGATAAGAGGGTTTTTTGGCTTATTTCTTTAGAATTAATTTTTTACAAAATAGGCCAAGTTAAAGAAGTTTTCCTCTTGTAAAAGTACATCTGGAGAGGGTGAGATCTGAATCTTTTAGGAATTTCTTCTCCTCTTGGCAACTTCCTTTAATTCCCATTAACCTTAATGCAGTTAATATGTATATCATGAAGCACAAAGCCACAATTGTGTGTAAGCTTACAAAATAGTGATAGGCTTGAAGTAATACCCTAGCTCTAAACCCCAAGTCCATGGAGATCCAAGACTAAGTAATAAAGATAGGAGCCAGGGTAATGGTTCATACTCATCTTTAACCATTTGTCTGCTTACAGTTTTTATTTTAATTAGTATAAAAGTAGAACGTTTTATTGTTTATGCCCTGTGTGGTCATAGTGGGTAGAGCAAGGGACTTGGAGATAACTACTCAGGCAAATCGCTTACAGCTTCACTCATTTTTCCATTTGCAGAACTGATATAAATAGTGCATACCATACCGAGTTGATGTGAGAGTTAATTACTGTCTGTTAAGCACCTTAATCTGCTAATGAAATGTGCTGTGGAAGCAGGTCTTCTAGTAGAGTGGGTTTGTTCAGAAAATCTATTCTGAATTCCAGGTATTATAACAGAAACCTGCTCAGTGGGGAGGTTTTTTAGACATAGGTAGACATGATGACAACTGTATTATTTCCATGTTGCCATTTTCAATTTTCATGAAAAAGATGAAGCCAAGTCTCTTCTGTTGAAACACTTTAAGATTTGACATTTTTGCACTACTGTTTGCAGTCTGAGCAAAAACCTGGTGCACAGAAGTGTTTCATAAGAGAACTGAGTGGGCCAGGCCAACAGTAGGCACGTGGGCTGTAGCCAGCTGACCCTTGGTCTCTTAAAGAGCGAGCCTTCAGGCCAGACCCCTCAAAGCAGAGACAAGAATGGAAAAAATGCTTGGAAGAAATACACAAGGTATTTACACCCAAGAGAAGAAATAAGAATAAATAGGACTGTTTTCTCAGGAAAGTGAGGAAGCCGAAGGTGACCAATTTTGGGGAACCAGAATCCATGACTCTCCAGAGATCTGATGCCCACTGCAGGTCTCTGGACCCAGAAGGGCAGGTTTAGATTGAGTGCAGTACTACCTTGGTGTAGCACTGTGGGTTGGGTAATATCTCTGATGAATGGTAAGGCTCATTAGCCCACGTGGACTATTATAGCATCTCAGCACAACCCTCAGTGAAACACTGGGAATTCTCCAGGGGAATTAGTCAACCCCTTGTTACATCCCTGCATATACCCTTGCAACCCACCCGGAGTAAGTACTTCCACACTGAGAATCCCTGCTACAGTGAATGAGCATAGGGGCACTGTGCATGACTTGCAAGGATCTGAGATCAAATTTCCAGACGGTGGACAAAACTCCGGTTCCAGGGAACCTTGGGGCAATGAGGTTGCCCCAAGGATTTTACTTCAAGTCTATCACTATTTTGTAAGCTTAAACACATTTGTGGCTTTGTGCTTCATGATAGACATATAACTGTGTGAAGGTTAATGGGAATTAAAGGTAGTTTCCAAGAGAAGAAGAAATTCCTAAGAGATTCAGATCTCACCCTCTCCAAATACACTTTTACAATAGGAAAACTTCTTTAACTTGGCCTATTTTGTAAAAATTGAAGTAAAAAGAAATAGGCCAACTCTAAAATTCCAGATTGTCCCAGAAAATTTGAGATACTTGCTTGCCTTAGAAAGCCATATCCCATTTCTTATGATAAGACTTATTCTTACCCTCCTCCTGCTGGGCAAGCCCTTTAACGTAGCTTTCTTTGAGGAATAAATTATACAGAAGTAGAAGAGAGGCAGGTACCCCCCGCCCTTAATTTTAGGGAACAGGTTACCCACAGCTGCTTAGGCAAAACTGTATCATTGGCAAGGAAACTTGAAAGGTGAGTGCAATTTCCTTGTTTCTTTCTTTCTCGATATAAATATTGTAACATTTCCATCCCTTAGAAAGCCTTGTTTGCTTGATGTGGGTCGTTAAAATATATGTTCATAAAAATTTAGTGATGCCAGTGAAATTTCCATTTCTGCTCCATTAAAAATGCCTTTTTTTTCTTGTTTAAACAAATTCAGCCCTTTGATATGATACATTTAAAGAACTGTTTCTCTCCAGTCAAGTAAGAATACTCATTTTCTGCCTATTTTTATTTTAAAATATGTTGGGATTCACACTACCATTCATGTTAGCGGGATGCCAGGAATGATCTGCCAGTAAAGGAAGCAGTTTTATCTTAGTAAGTGTAAGAGCAGTGACTCAGCAGACAGAGACTCTGCACAAGAATGAGAAGAAACATAGTTATGCAGCTTCCCTATATTGATTTTTTTTATTGATCTCAGAAAGCAGTAAAGCTACAGCACTGTTGAGCGGAGGAATTTGAATCTTAAAAAAAAAAAAAAGCAGATACGAGTTTGAGCTGATTATCACATTTAATGTCATTGTTTCTGTGGAAGAGACTGTTGTTCTTTCTCACTTGCCTGCTAAAATACAAAGCTGATAATATTTGAAGCTGATAATATTAAAGCTGCGCTGTGGTTTTCCCCTTAGGCCAATATACTTGGTCAGCTGCTTACTATATTAATGGAAGCAGCCTTTTAAAATTTGTTTGTGTAAATATAGTAAAATGCACAGTAATGTCTACGTAAAGAAAAAACGGCCTTTTTCACCTCCACTGAGAGTATGCTCTATGCAATAAGTATCAATGGCTACCTGAATGTAAACTTTCCAGGGATCAGAGCTGGTGAGGTGAGCGAGAGAACATTTCACACTTTGAAACATGAAAGGAGGGAATAGGTCAAGCGGGGCAAATCATTTTTGAAAGAAATAACAATTTTAGGCTTTGCCTAACTATTTTTGGTTAACTGCTGTGTGAAAGGAAAGTACTGTCTGGAAATCTACAGAAAGGTATGTAACGTGGGTCTGATCCATAGTTGTTCTCAATTTTTTTCTCGACTCCCCCCGAACGTAGTAGAATCAAATTGAATGATAACATCTAGGGAGTTTTGCTGTCTCTTTACACCATCCCTTGCTCCGTTGGGACCGGCAATTGTCAGTTGCTCCTTACCGTGAACCTTGCAGTAGCTCTCAGTGCGTCTCTGTCTGAAGGCTTACGTTTGGTGTTTCTTTAACAGTTAGAGCAAGGACAACACATCTGGGCTCCTAGGGCACGTCCAAATGAGCCGGAATGTGTGCTTCCCCGGGGACTTGTCCCCAGGGATCGCCTTTGCCACACACGCTCTGGCGTGCGGCAGGTTACCCTGGATGGGGTAGGGGAGGCTGGGGCCAGCAACTGTGTTGTCCCAGCAGCCTTACTTGGGGTCTCGGGGGCCCCTGGGAGCTGCAGCCGCACAGCTCCTGCAGCAGGGAGCCTGGCTGGTAGCTGGAGCTCCGGCCGGCCAGGCTCTGGCTTTGGGCAGCGCCTGCTGCTGCCACGTGCACCACCCCACTTTTTTTCAGCATGGGATTTTTGGCTCCAAGATCTCCATAATGAGGCTCACTAATATTTGTAAAGCAATTTGTATTCACTGATATTTGTAAAGCAGAATTTTCTTGGGGGCCTGCCCAAGTCCTTACAGCTAATTCTCAGAATGTAAATCTAGGAATTACTACAAAGCTCACTACCTTTTATTCCAAGTTCAGAGCACATTTTTGACATTTCTCAGGATTACAGGCACGCACACACATGTACACACACACACACACACACATTTGACATTACTTAGGTGTGAGGCACAGCCTGGATGGGAAGCCCCATCAGTTGCAGGGATCTTGCTCCCAACTACACTTGAAGCACAACCTGAACCAGGAGCCGCATCGGTTGTGGGGTTTCTCAACCCCGGCTGCATGTGGCCCCCATGGCTGGGAGCCTGCTTTTTGCCAGTTCAGGGCTCCCCCTGCACTAGCAATGTGTCACAATTGGATCTACCGCAATCCCACAATCGCACCTCCTGCCTTGCACGTGTAGCATGGGAGGAGGGACAACTGTGTGAATCACGCATTAGATGTAATCGCATCTTTAACTGCAGATGGAGAAGGAGCCCCAGCTATGAATTTTGTCACGCTGTGCCACTGTCAACCCAGCCATAAACTTTTATTGAAGTTCATGTCAACATCATCTTAAAATATCTGGGTATTGTTACACTAAACCTTATAATGTCCTGCATGCTAAGCTAATTTATTATTTAAGTTCTGGAAGGGGAAATAGGAAAAGATGGGGTGAAATATTTGGCAAACATACATATTTTTTTCTCCTTTCAGGGATTGCAGTATGTAATGTGCCAGCAGCATCCGTAGAGGAAACAGCAGATTCGACAATGTGCCACATTCTGAACCTTTACCGGCGAACCACCTGGCTTCACCAGGCTTTGCGAGAAGGCACAAGAGTACAGAGCGTTGAGCAGATTCGGGAAGTTGCTTCAGGAGCAGCCAGGATTCGAGGGGAGACCTTAGGCATTATTGGTTTAGGTATGCTGGCCTTGAGGAGACTCTTGGTTTTCAATTTTTTTTCCATCGTTTTGGTAGGATGGTGAAAAACAAAGTGAAAAGATGGCTCCCTCCATGTAGGCTTTCCCCAAGCCTGCTGACTGAATGCCACCTAGGCTAAATAATAAGAATTGACTGCCCCAAAATCTGAGTTTGCTCCCCTGGTACTCTCAATTTTTCTTTTCTTATTTCATAGATTTCATAGATTTCATAGACATCAGGGCTGGAAGGGACCTCGGAAGATCATCGAGTCCAGCCCCCCGCCCAAAGGGCAGGAAGTCAGCTGGGGTTATAGGATCCCAGCAAGATAAGCATCCAGTTTCATCTTGAAGGTGTTCAATGAAGGCGCTTGAACCACCTCCGGTGGCAGGCTGCTCCAGACCTTGGGGGCTCGGACAGTAAAGAAGTTCTTCCTTATGTCCAGCCTGAAACGATCTTGAAGTAGTTTGTGACCATTCAACCTCGTCATCCCTTGGGGCGCTCTGGTGAACAAACGTTCCCCCAGATGCTGGTGGTCACCCCTGATAAACTTGTAGGTGGCCATCAGATCACCCCTGAGCCTGCGCTTTTCCAGGCTAAAGAGCCCCAGGGCTCTCAGCCTGTCATTGTAGGGTCTGCTTCCCTGACCTCTGATCATGCGCGTGGCTCTTCTCTGCACTCTCTCAAGCTTCTCCACATCCTTTTTGAATTGTGGAGCCCAAAACTGGACACAGTACTCCAGCTGCGGCCTCGCTAAGGCCGAGTACAGCGGGAGAATGACGTCCTGGGATTTGCTTGAGAAGCATCTATGGATGCAAGCCAGCGTTTTGGTCACTTTACTAGCCGCCGCATCGCATTGCAGGCTCATGTTCATCTTGTGCTCAACGATGACCCCCAAGTCTCTTTCTTCCATAGTGCTAGCCAACATAGCACTGCTGAGCCTATAAGGATGCTGAGGGTTTTTCTTCCCAAGGTGGAGAACCTTGCATTTATCGGCATTGAACACCATCAGATTCTCATCTGCCCACTTGCTGAGCCTGTCCAGGTCAGCCTGGATAACCTGCCTGTCTTCTGGTGTGGATGCTTTGCCCCAAAGTTTGGTGTCATCGGCGAACTTGGCCAGTCCGCTTCTGACTCCAGTGTCCACATCATTAATGAAGATGTTGAACAGTATGGGTCCAAGGACAGAGCCTTGGGGGACCCCACTGGTCACAGGACACCACGATGAGTGACTTCCATCAATTACTACCCTCTGGGTCCGACCCCGGAGCCAGTTTTCCAGCCAGCGGATCGTGGAGGACCCAAGGCGTCAATTGGCCAGTTTCTCCAAGAGGCGATCATGGGACACCAGATCGAAGGCTTTTTTGAAGTCAAGATATATGACATCAATCTCTTCTCCCTTGTCCAGGTGATAGGTCACCTGGTCGTAGAAGGAAATGAGATTGGTCAAGCAAGACCTACCCGCAACAAACCCGTGCTGGCTATCCCTTAAGATGTTGGCGTCGGCCAGTCCATTAAGGATGGCCTCTTTAATAAACTTTTCTAAGATCTTCCCTGGGATAGAAGTCAGGCTGATGGGCCTATAGTTAGCCGGATCCACTTTCCTCCCTTTCTTGAAGATAGGCACCACGTTGGCCTTCTTCCAGTCTTCGGGCACTACACCAGAGCGCCATGAGTTTTCAAAGATCCGTGCTAGAGGCTGGGCTATGATGCTCGCCAGCTCCTTGAGTACCCTGGGGTGAAGATTGTCAGGGCCAGCTGACAATCTTCGTAATTTTATTCCATTGCTTCTAATGAGATCCTGTTTTATTTTTCTAAACAATATGTTCCCCTTCAAGGCATTTCTTTCAAATATTTATAGGTAGTTACTTTGTTTTCCTCCTAAATCGATATTCCTGCAAGTCAGTCACTAACTATTTTTGTTGTTCCCTGAATCCCTTTGAGTTTCTCTACACCTTCCAGGTATCAAGGTGCCTAGTGTCAGGCACGCTGGCTTACAGAAAGATATATCAGGAAATATGAATAGAGAGAGAATATATTTTTCCTATTCCAGCACATGGTCCTTGTCTATTCAACCTGACATCACGTTAACTTTATTTAGTGCCATGTCGCACTGCATAAATCCTATTTAATTTGCTGTCCACTGTCACATGTTTGCCTATTTCAGAATAGCTTCTTTCTCCAGATTTCTACCTCCAACTGTTTCTTTAAGTGATCTGGAAGACGGTTCTTACAGTAGCTCAGAACACAAGAATAGCAGCCTGTGGTGCAATTATTTCTTACATTGTGGTCAGCTGGCCATTTATTCGGATCCATATTCCAGTTGAAATGAGAGGAACAGAAAATGTAAAAAAAAGTTTGAATAATAAGCCCAACAAACCTAATAAAACCTAACCTAGCCTACCAAACCTAATAAAAGTGTTAGCTTCCTACCTGCTTGAATGTCTCTAAATATATCTTAGGATGTAACAGATGGACAAGGATGCTTGAGATGAATTCATTACTGTCTGTCACAGAACAAGTGAAGAAAAACAAGCAAGACAGTTTTTGCATGAGGTTTACTCAGTCACGCATCTGTCTTATCAAAGGCTTGATTAATAGAGTGTATTTAAAACTGCTGCGGTAGGTAACCACAGGAGTTAATGATGTGATTGGCTGACAGCAGAGCATACCAACAGTCAGACTTCAGAAGATGCCTTCACCCAGTGGGACTTAAATGACTCACTCAAACCATATGTACTCCTTCGGTAGCTCCAAGTCTCTTATCTCTTTGCTTTGGAAGTTGAAACCAGCCAGTTAATGTCTGGTTACAGTTTGAATTAGGGTATTAAGACACAAAATAGTCTTCACAAACTGACAATCACAATTAAAATGTGAGTTTCAAAAAGTTTGTTAAGCAGCTGCACTCTAAAACCTGCACCTGCACTGTACACACAAATTTAGGGAAGCAACTGTGTGCACAGGTTTTTAATAGATACATGCATCTGATGCTTTTGAAAATCAGTCCCTTTATTAGGTGTTACATACATCTTGAAGACATCTGCCTTATTTGTGTTTTGCCGTAGTGTAGTCTTATCCTAGGTGGAGATAAATAGGTCTCTTCTTTCGAGATTGAGTTTGCATGCAAATTTGACACACAACTTTGGTTGTTTAACTGCATTATACTTCCTGATTATTTGTGCGTAGATAATCTGAGTGCCAGTATGTGTGTTGTGCTGTATGAAGAGCCAGCTTTCTTAAAATAAACACCTTGTGCGCATAGTCTATCAAAAAGACTTATAAAATACATATTTAAGAACACACATCTGTTACAGTAATTAAAGAGACAGCCAGTAACTTTCTCAGTTCTCTCACTTTTGCTGTTGCTGTCACTACTGATATAATCTACCCACTGACAAGGAAAACGTTGTAAAATCACATTTTTGTAGACATGAGTGATCAATTTGTGGGTACATATGACAACAGACATAAACTTATAGTGCTAAACATGCGACACTCAGCACACGTGTCATTTCAGTCTTCCTAAGAAGTCATGGCATGCTCTTACACCCATGAGATTATCCCTGCCCTGTGTAGAAGTATAAAACTATTTATTTAATGGTATATAAAAATTAGGTAATAAGCAGGTCGCTTATCCTGCTGCCTTTTGTGGGAAAGGCAGCTAAATTTGTAATCCCTCAGGTATATTTTATTCTTGCACAATTCTAACTCAAGCCTCAGCTTTCAACGAGACAAATCCTCTGTCCTCTCCGGACGTTAGGAGAAAGGGCCACTGTCCACTCTAGCTCCTCTCTGGCACTGCAGCCTGGCTTCTCCCCATAGTTTGGTCTCCTCTGTTCGGCGTGCATTTCTGGGAGCTTTTAAACCTCTTGGGGACATGTCCTCATTAGAAGGATGCCCCACAGCTAACCGTCCTGAATGGGCCTGACTGCCTCTTCTTCTGGGAACACGTTACAGACCCGTCTCAGGTCTGAACACTCCAGACAGTTGGATGAAGACTGTGTCTCACTTCTAATGCACATCATGGCAAGAGATTATCTATGCCTAGGTTTAGACTGAAGCGTTATTTATAATCTTGTTTACCAGAATTTTGTCCTTAGCTCGTGTCCTAGAGAAGAAACCACTTATCAACGGGTGCCATTTTCAATCCTTGGTGGTTTGGCCTAAGTATTTACTGAAATGAGTTGACATCAGCACTGCTGAATTATGAAAAGGCTGCTATAAAAAAATGTTGTGCATATAAAATAAATGAATCTCAATGTCTGCTGCTAAATCCTGATGGATTATCTCTTTGCATCTCCAGAATGTCTCTAGTTTAGTTTTCTCCTTTCTTACTGCCAGAATACATTTGTCAAAGATCACCCCCTGCTGCAGGCTCCTCTCTCCTCTTCTTGTCTTAACCTTAACAGCACCACCATAATTGTGCTGTTTAAATAATGCTGCTTGCCTGGCACGCTACCTATGCCCACAGCTTCTTCGCATCTCTTTTTCTCATAAGAAATTCCCTCCTTATTCCTTACCTCCCAGGCAGACTGTGGATTAAGTCTGAACTGTCTTTCTTCTTTACTCACTTCCACACCCATTTGTCTGGCCAAGTTACATGACTCACTGGCCTCTTCATTTCCTTCATCCACTCTTCTGCCTCTTTCATGGAAACTCTTGGCCCTTACTCACTCTGCCTTGCCTGCTCCTGTTTCTCCCTCGCCTCCTTTAAAGTAATTTCTTCCATGTAGCTTAGCCCTTTTCTCTTCCCACCCTGTGCCTGTAGCAAGGACAAGAATGAGGGAAGTAAAACAAGCAAAGTACATGCTCCATAATACCACTTTTCTCCTTCACTTGCTTCTCTTTACATGCTGTTCTTCCTCTGCTCTGCTAGTTCTTTAGGCTTCATTCCTCTGGCAGCACCTTTGTTTGAACCTGTCTTTAGGAAATGAAGAATAGCTGTTGAGCACTGCATAAATGATACAATGCAATTTCAAAGTCTTCTTTGCTGCTTTACAGATATCAGGGCACCAGTGCCATGTATTCCAAGGGATAGGTACCCATTTTAATAAGTGAGCAGCTGTATTCAGCTTCATCTTGGATGATAGCAAGGTCTGCATCCAGAAGAACAAGCCACAGCCTCCTGGCCTGGTGCAGATGGTAAAAATCATTTAGATTTTTATGAGTAGGAGCGAGCTGATAGACAGAAAACCAATCTGGTTACTGTTGCAACGATTATTCACAGTAATTGCTGTGAAATCACCCTCTGGCTGCATACTCTGGTGAGTAATAGCTGATGCATTTGCTCAGTCAAAAGGGATAATGTTACTTCTGGCTGCATCCCTCTGTCTGTCCTCATCTCCTCAGTCTTGTCTGGGTTCACCGTTGTTTAGCTTACTTCCATCAGTGCCCTGACTCAAATGAACTCCATTGTCCAAGATGAACAAGATCAAGAAGTATAATCTAGCATTAAAATACTGAAAACCCTGCAGCTCTTCATAATGCTCTTGCTAGCCCATATATCTGTTGAATGAGAGAAGTGAAAGAATTGCACTCCATGAGATGCCAGCCTTAAGAGTACTCTGCAATCACCTATTGCCATTGATCACACAAGAAATAAAGCTAGGATAGATTCTTCCAATCCCACTGAAGTGTGCAGGCAAGTCAGCGACATCCCATGATCAATGGTATGAAACGCATGTTATAGAATTTATAATACCATTAAGGCCACCTGATCTTCACCCATGGGCAGGAAAAGGTCTTTGACCAACACAACCAGTGTCACATCTGTGTTCAAACTAGGTCTACATCCAGATTGATGAGGATTAGGAAATTCAGAGGCATCTATGTCCTAGTAGAGTTCTGTTCAGTTCAGTGACAGAAAGTATTTAAATACAAATAAAGCAACAGGTAACATAGTCGAGGAGAGCCTCTTTGTGATTCCTGTACACTTAGGATCATAGAAAAGTAGGGCTGGAAGAGACCACACAAACTCATCTACTCCAGCTCCCTGCTCGAGGCAGGATTATCACTCAGTAAACTACCCCAGCCAAGTATCTGTCCAACCTGCTCTTGAACACTTCCAAGGATGGAGATTCCACCATTTCTTTAGACAACCTGTTCCAATACTTGACCACCCTCATAGCCAGAAAGTTCACTCTAATCTCCAACCTAAATTCCCTCTGCTACAGCTTGAAGCCATTATTTCTAGTCCTGTCCCCTATGGCCACAGAGAAAAGGCTCTCTCAATCCTCTTTTGATAGCCCTTCAGGTATTTGAAAGCTGTTATCTAACCCTCCCTCGGTTTTCTCTTTTGCAAACTAAACCATCCTAGTTCTTTCAGCCTTTCTTCTTAGGTCTTGCCTCCTGGGCCCCTAATCATTTTTGTCGCTCTGTGCTAAACTCCTTCCTGTCTGTTCATACCCTTCTTGAAGCAGGGGACCCAAAATTGGACATACAATGCCACAAAAATTAGATGATGATAAAAATGGCAAAAAAAGCACCGAGGCATTGTGTTCAGGAATGTGAGTGGGACTGGAACTGTAGAGTCGGGCATATTAAAAAAGGAGCCCAGGCTTCACAAACCTACCTACCCTGGAAATGCTGGAGGAATTTTGCTTGATCTCGGTGCAATTTCCAGTTTTTCATAGTTTCTAAAAGAAGTCTCTGTTATCTTGTTTTGCTATTCTGCAGTAGTCTAAAGCATATATATGTCCCTCATTTGCACAAACAAGAAGTTCATTTTAATATATATAACTTTTTTTTTTTTCCTTTTGTTGAAAGCATATAAATCCTATCATTACTCACAGGAATTATACAGGTTTGTCATGGCACAGGATATAGCCCGGATGCTGGTCCATGGTATGATTCTGTTATTAACAAAATGCTGGCATGCGTTTTGAACTGGCCCTAGTGGGGACGTCCCTAAGTAGACTTTTCAGGCTAAGAAAGCAAGCTATGGCACTGTGCTGTATCTCGGACAGTAATTTGAAAAGTAAACTAGCAGGTTTATGAGTCAGCCAACTTTTTGGATAAGGATTATTACTAAATACAGCATTAGTTACAGCAAACATTTCTGTCATTAAATACATAATTACAGGACAATTTCTGCCCACAGATATATATACATGTGGTTCACAGTAATTTCAGTGGGCGACTTCACACATGCATTAGAGACCTCTAATGTATTAGACTGTGCATCAACATTGGTTGTAAGAAACAGAAAGGCTTAGTTTCATCTGACCAATGTATTGCAATATATATAACTATAATGGAAACCTTGGGGCTAGTGCTTTAAGGAGAGCTCAGAGAGCTTTGGACAAGGTGTTGAATGTGCAAATGAACAGAGACATGGTACATATAATAAAGTTCGTTTTTTACAAAATCACTATTTACAAACTGTAGTGTCTTGATCTATGCAGGTCCTGAAATGTTGCAAATTCCTAATACTTTAGCTGCATTAAAAGCTGGCTATTTTTTCCAGTTCTCTGTTTATGAAAACCGGTCCTCAAAAGCCAACAACTATCATACAAAGCCTTTTATTTCAGTAAGTTTTGAAGAGTCTCTCTTAAGTAGATGTCCCCAGGGAAAAGCAGACATTCCCAATTAGATTGACTGACTGCTTAATATTCCGAGTGTATCCATCACCAGGCACTCCAGGATGATTGTGTTCAGGTTAAATGATCGACAAAAGACTTCTTGAATTTATTCTAAAAGAAACTGCAGAGCACAGGGAAATCCCTTAAAACACAATTGGGAAGACATGGGATTTCCCTATGTTATTCTGTTGCTTTTTGAATAAACAGATGTTACAAAAGAAAACCTTCTGTTGATTTTCTCTCTTTTTTTTTTTTTTTTTAAGCAAAGCCATAACCATTCTGTTGATAGTGACTCTGAGACTTTTGAACTATCTTTAAATCTCAGGCTTTACACAAGCCACCTGAAATCTGGGGTATGAAGTACAACTTGTTATTCTCTAAAAAAGAAATAAAACGACTTCTTCAAAACATCCTCATTCCCTTTATTTCTTTACTTACTTTATTTATTCACATACCACACTCATCTTTTCCCTGAAAACAAGCGGTTGAAAATTGGAGTTTGCGTCTTAAATGAAGAAACTGATTCTGAACAGTTTGCTGAAAAGGAAAAAATCTTTTTTTTTTCTTCATTCTGCCTTCCCAAAGCAAGGCGCATGTCTTATTTGGGGCCGTGGGGTATGTGAAATAAATACAGCCGGTACTAAAATCCGTGTTTTATTCATGGTGGCCAAAAGTGAGATACCCGCGTACACATGAAAGCTGGGATCCCAATTTTGAACACAAGCTAAAAAAGTATCCTGATAATAAGGAAAAGAAACTGAAGAGGAGCAAAAGAAACAGAAGAAAAGATTGCACTGGTCAGATTAGGGACCAGGTCTAGAAAAGGGATTGTTTTTTTCGTCTATGGTGCTTAGCCCCACAGGGCCCTAGCCATCCAACTATTAAACCATAACACCATGACAGGTGCTCAGCAAGATGTATGGCATGATGGAGTCAATTTGTTTGCGGTTTAGGTAAATGAGTAAGGAGCAAACTGAAGAGTGAAATGGAAGGATTTTGCAGGCATTACAGAATTAATCAGTCTTGAAGAGGATTTAAAATAGAAACACAGACTGGTTTCAAGTGGGCATTTCCTACTTAAGAGGCTAGTTTTGCTGCAGCAAATTTTATGACTAGAGCTGAAAACAAAAAAGCAACTGCCGGCAGCCATCATTGGGTTTTGAAAGCGATGGTTTTGAAGTAATTGGCCACGTTCACACGAGCAGGGGCGTGTTTGCAGCAGCACAAATAGTAGCGGCACAAATTTGTTCTGCTAATTTGTGCTGCAGTGCATGCCCCTGCTGGTGTGGCTTGCAGCAGGACACATTGTCCCACTGCTCCCTGTGCTGCAGGGGTAGGGTTGGCTGGGGTGCAGGGTGTGTTAGTGTAGGGCTAGCTGGTAGGCAGTCAGGCAGCAGCACATGGAGACAAGAGAGCAGGCTTGCACCACTTTATTTTTTTGCGGGGGAGGGGGGTTGCACTTCTATTTTTCAGGAGGTTTCTTTTTCTTTCGTTCTTTTTTTTTTTGCTACTAGGAAATCCCAATAGCAAATTTTGCCCCAGTACTGCAAATTAGCTGCAGGGTGCATGTTTTAATATGCAACACGTGCAGCTTATGGCGCTGCAAAGAGGTTTGCAGCACCACAAACCATACGTGCCTGCGCATCAATATCCAACCATTGTGTTCTTGTAGCCTGCTGTGAAACATAGGGAGGGATCTTAAAAATATATATTTTTTATCAAATAAAATTGTAAACATACATTTCATAGCTTCTTATTAAAGGCAGTTGGACACACATTGGCAAAAATGGGGAGTTGGCAGGAAGTAGTTATGAATATCAGTATTTTATCATCTGAAGGTCCAGCATCATTTATTAAGCAAATCTAGATTATTACAGGCCCTGTATACATTATCTTTTGGCATTACAGTTCTCCAGTTTCTTTTTTTTTGGAAGGGGTGGGAGGGAAAGGAGGAAGGGGTGTAGGCCTTTTGATCACCAGTAGCATGATATAACCCTTAAATATAACGTTATAAACCTAATGAGGATGGGTCACAAATGTTTCTTTTTTCTCTTCTATACTGTTCCATGTAAAGTTCCTAGTCCTACAGGAATGTTTTGCAATGATAATTGTACAAGAAAAAGCTATTTTACATCAGCGACGTTCCTTTTTCTTTGTGCGTCTGTGATTGCTCTAGGACGTGTTGGACAAGCAGTGGCGTTACGTGCAAAAGCCTTTGGCTTTAGTGTCATTTTTTATGACCCATACCTCTCAGATGGCATTGAACGTGCTCTTGGACTGCAGCGGGTGAGCACTTTACAGGATCTGCTATTTCACAGTGACTGTGTAACCCTACACTGCAACTTGAATGAACACAATCATCATCTTATTAATGACTTCACCATAAAACAGGTAACTATGCAATATGTCTCCCTCCAGATTGGTTTGGTTTTATTCTCACTGACTTTCTGCATACTAACGAGTTTCTCAGTGTAAACATGCAAACTCAGTTCTTAAACACATTTTTTTCTTCCCTTTGGTATTTCACTGCTTATTAAGTAAGTTTATATTGGTTAGGAAAGAAATGATATCGTTGCTTTTTTCATTATACTTGCTAACTTCTCTTTTGTAGAAATAATGTTATCTACTAACTGGTATGAAGATTCAGTTACTTAATTTATCTGTGTTTATTTAAGAGCACTTCTGTGGGATCTGCAGATAGATACTTCCTCTTTCTACTCTTTTTACTAATAACAAAACTTGCCCTTCACTTTTATACTTCAGTTTAGAGGTTTTCTTTATACCTAACTTCAGGCTTGTAACTAACTGGTGCCCCCCTGTGTTCAGTCCTAATTCTTACAGAACATTTCACTGATTAATTGGTCACATTACAGTATTAGGTTATTTGGATTATGCATAAATGGATTTGACTTTTGACTGAATCTTTCCAAAATTAATTAATAATACATAAAGTGTTCAAAGCATAGATACTAAATAACTGTTCCATTGTCAAGTTACTCAGTAGGCAATATTTTTCTTTCATTAAAATTCTGTTTTCTGATGTAAAACTTGGGGTGTAGAAAGTAGATATATATTAGAAACTGTAGGTGTTGAAATGTAAAAATGTATTGTATGGTAAAATAATCCTAACTGAATCATACTCGTTCTTTTTTTTTATTTTGAATGCTGTTAATACATGTACTATATGCATTTATTTATATATGAGGTTTATCTCTGTTGAACCAAAATAGTAACTGCTTGGCTTCTGCAAAATACTAAGCATCTGTTATGCCTACTAATATCACAGGGACTTCAGTAGGAGTTGAAGATGCTCCACTTACTATATCAAAAATCCTTGTTCAGGTGTAAATAAGATGCAACAATATATGTCCTGACCGGACACTTGGGTCTGTGTAGACCAGTGCAAGATGATGATCAAGGCCTATTTTTAAAATCTTGATATGCTTGTTGATTCAGAGGATAAGTCCGAAAGAAAGTTGACCTCTGTTATTTTCCATGTTCTTGTACCTTCATCTTGTACATTATAATTATTTTTCCATGAGGTGATTATATAACACTGGGTAGAATAGTCCTGATTTGTTAAGGACCTCTGTTTGGGATCCCTGCATTCAGATGGACCCTTTCTGAAGCCAGCTGGGATTCCTACGAGCTCAGCAGAGTTTCTGCCTTCCACTGAATTGTGGGATTGGGGCCATTGTGTGCCTTTTATAATGGGAATTATTTGAGTTGAGGTGGAAAAAGGAGGATGTACAGTGAAGAAGTGCTAGTCTGTTAGGCAGAGGAGCATAGGATATACACTCAATTTTTAGGCGAATCTGAAAGTCAAAATTAACTTACAAAATCTATGAAATGTCTAAGGCAGAAAAGGTTCTTTGGGTGAATCTGATATCTTTTATCAGACCAACTTAAATAGTTGGAAAAAATTTTCTTAACAAGCTTTTGGGTTTAAAACCCTTCGTCAGGCTGATGAAGTATCTGCAGTTGGGGTGTGTGTGTGTGTGTGTGTGTGCTGATCCTGTGTGGAAGAGCACACACGATCCAGGAACAGCACCCATCAGCTGCAGATACTTCCTCTGACTGACCAAGGGTTTTTAAACCCGAAAGCTTGCTAAGAAAAAGTTTTCCAACTATTTAAGTTGGTCTGATAAAAGATATCGGATTCACCCAAAGACCCTTGTCTGCCTATGTCCTTAGACCAACACGGCTACCACTTGCACCCCTATAAAATGTTGAATGCATTTATATTGTTACTTATCACTCTGTATTGACATAGTGAAAATTAAAATAAAATGTTAGCTGTTTCTTACTTCAAAAAAAATAGAACTGTGGGGGGAAATCCTGAACAAATGTTAATTAACCTTTGTTCTAATAGCTGACATGCAAATACATTTCAAAGCAGTACAAATTTAAAAGCAAATCATTTCTAACATACATGGTCCCTCTCAAACTGTCTAGTGACATAGACAAAATGCTTTTAAATATCACATTAAAAATATCAAACTGGCCAACATTTCATGCTTATTTATGCTCAACCAGGCCAATAGTGCTTGTATAACAAATCTTGCTACTTTGTCCAGTGTTATGTGATCAGATAACAAAAGTTTTCATATCCATATGTGTAAAGAGGTAAGATGAATCTCATTTCATTAAAAGGCCCAACCAGAATGTCATGTGGAGTTTTAAACTCAGCATCCTTGAAACCTCTTTGAAAGTTATGGGGACAGACTTCTCTTTTCATGGCTTATCCTCTAAGTTTTGGTGTACCGCCCAGCAAATACATTTTGCCTTCCTGACCCTGTATAGTTCAGGTGGATTTTGTTCTACAGTGCCCAAGAAAATGGGTGCTCAGTATTTTTTTCCAGGACCAAAAGTCCTCTTTTGATGTCCAATTCTCTTCAGATTTGACAAGAAGATACTGTATTTAAATAAAATGCATATTGTATAAAAACAGCAGCTGCACAGGATTAACTTAGCTGAATCGGAGTAGCAATCAATCAGCAGTATTAGCTCTGACATTCTCTTTCAAGCGTCCAGCCACTGTAAAGAGTCATTTTGAAGCTGCATCCCCACTGCGACTCAGGCAATTCACTCGCTTCAGAATGCAGTTGTGTATCCATATTCTGTTTAATTTGGGCTTGTTTTACTACCAAGATTTACAACTGTATAAATAGCATTGAAGATGAAAAGTCAGCGAGGGCTATTCTGGCTGGACGAGGGATTTGGAAGTGTTTTCTATTATTAAAATTTCCAGTCCCTTAGGAGGATATAGAAATGTGCTAGACTATATTTAAGGCCAAATGCTGCCCTTCACTTATGCTCGTGTTGAAGTGGGTAGTTCCCTGAACTGAAGGGTATGTCTACCTAGCAGACTGAAACTGTAGTTAGTAGCATGGATGAACACACCTGAGCTAGCTTTCTTCTGACCAGCATAGATAATAATAGTGATTTTAGAAGTACAAGGTTCATCTTGAATGTAGGACTTGTGCTGTGATTGGCAGCCTGGGCTGAAGCCTCCTGCACCATGTCTTCACTACTCTTGTTGACAGGCTAAATGGTTAACATGCTTCCTCGGGCTGCCACCAGTCTTCTGTTTTTTCTGTGAAGACTTAAGAGTACGTGCCTCTGCAGGGCGAAGGCTCTTTAGGTGGAGAGAGAAAAAAAATGGAAATTAGAACAGGGAGTTGGCCAAAGCAATGCATAGATTTTTGTTACGATGTAACTAGATGCATGTAAACCATAATTGCTTCCTGTTTCGACCATCCTGCCAGAGGATAGATTCATGCCAGGGGATTCCTTTGCTAGGTCATTCTCTAGTTATACAGGAACTTAGCATTTCTGCCCCCCAAGTTTGAGTTGTATAAGAGCAACTAATGATATAATAAGGGCTTTTTTCCCCCTTGTAGGCAAAGCTGCCAGTTTCCTGAATAAGTTATACAGGTTCATTTGATGTTTAGATACCTCCTTTTCATTGTAGTGATCAGACCTTGGTTGCCCGTCCTTACTGTGGCTGCCATCCTACAAACACTTATGTGCATGCTTGTCTTCATGCATGGGAATGTTTGCAGGGTCATGGCTTATATGTGAGACGTGTGCTAAAGATATTTAGGCATTGGTGTTTATTAGGATTGAATAGGATCTTGAGGTGTGTGTTCTCACTGTCCTCACTGAAATCGTTGCGTTGGCTTTATTTTCTAGATGTAGCATGGCAAATGTTTCATGGCTGAAACTGGCTGAGCAGGCTTACAATTCTGATCTGAGCAATGCACAGCAAAACCTCTGTAAGGCTTGCCACACTCCCAGCCCATGCCTCTTAACTGAGTAATACAGGGGTTCCCTATGTTGTCTGAAAAATCGTTCAGGGGGAAGGGGAGAAGGGAGCCAAAGTAAATAGAAAATTTCAATTTACTACATCTTGTTAACAAAACAGAAGTCTGGAAACCCCCCAAAAATGCATTTTTGGAAGTGAATTGTTCTTTTATTCATGTAAAAGTGTTAAATCCACAAAATGTGATTTTCTTTAGAAATATATGCTGTTGCTTTTGCCGTATTCAATTCCACAGTGAAATAAAAAAGGGAATAAAATAATGTCTCGTTTGCACATGCATGTTTGCATCATTTGATCATGTTACTATACAACATATGAAGTATTGGTCCTCTTATAAGAAGCCCTGCTTATAATGAAAAATCAAAAGGTTATAAGTGCTGTGAAACAGTATTTTGCTTTTGAAGCATCAGATTTTTGTGGTACTTTCCAATGGAAGACAAAGAGAACCGATGATAGGTTAATCCAGTTGAATAGTCTTTGTTGTAACAGATGCTTCCTTTGAGTAAATAATAATGCCACAACAGTTTTATTTCATTTATTTTTATTTCATCATTCTTGTTTTTAACTTTCCCTAGATGAGACAAGGGGCTTTCCTGGTCAACACAGCTCGAGGTGGGTTAGTAGACGAAAAAGCACTTGCACAGGCCCTGAAGGAAGGAAGGATACGAGGGGCAGCCTTAGATGTACATGAGTCAGAACCATTCAGGTGCTTTTCCTTTTCTTTTCTTTTTCTTTTGTTCACTTCCTTATTTTTAAGTATTAGTGCATGTTGTGACCAACAGCAATGAAGTCAATAAGCTTTCCCTCTACCTACTAGCTGAGCCTTCCATATTAAAGCAGTATGAATCTGTGCACCTCTGGATTAATGCAAAGGTGGATGAAACTTTGGCATGTTAGCAGGAGAAAATAGGTGGGGGAAGTACATTTGAAGGTTAAAAAAAAGAGTCTGGTAGGTGCAGTATGTTTGTCTCTGCCAAAGACCCAAGTTCAAATCCTAGGCATAATCTTGTGCCACATGGCCTGGAAATGAGTATGTTCATCTCCTGTCATTGATTGGCAGAAAGCCCTACTCAGTGCACAAAAAGACCCTTCAGGAAAGCAGGGGACAAGATCTTGTGGGGAAAACTGCCCTTTTAGGAAGCATCTAGGCACAACTTGCAACACCTTGATGCTTAGGCTGCATATCTGCCTCCAGATCCCTTCTGCTGGGAGCTTGTGAAGCTCAAGCCACAAGCAGAGTCTTAGAAGCTGAGGTTGTGGAGCTGAGAAGGGCGATCCCAGTTCAGACTTTTTATGTTTTGCTTTGGTTTTTTTGTTTCTTTTTTTGTTTTGAAAGGAAAGGAATAGCTCTACTGCCATTAGCAGACCCGGTGGCACTATATTTAGTGTGTTGAATGTCACCAGGAAGGGCACCCGCCTAGACAGAAATGTAGCACTCCAATAAGTAGGTTTGGTGGTAGGTCGCAAACGCAGAAATTGCCAGTGCAGTGCGTCCTTGAGTCCTGAGCTTGTCGTCTTTGTTAGAGGTACAAGTGTGGATTAGTATGGGCTAGTAATCGTATTTGTTGAGCATTGTTCAGTTGCTCAGTCAAGGCAGGAAGGAGCCTGCATTTCACATTAGATTATCTAAATGATAACAATCCACACACCTCTGTGAAGAGGAACAGATTCAGGACTTGTGAGACTAGGTCATAGCAGCCTCTGAACTAAGAGCAATCCTGCATCAGCTGAGAAAAGGAGCCTTTTGGAAAACTGGAATAGACTCGCCTGCCAGGTGGAAATCCTGCAAACATGTCCCGCCAAAAGATCTTTATTCTCACCTTGCATTTGTTAGCTTCTCAGTGCAATCATTATAGCAGTACAGTATGCAAGGGGGGGAAGCCCGTGTGCAGATATGCACATAGTTCCCTGTCCTACAATCAGATCTTCGCAGACAGACCTTGCACCCACAGGAAATCTATTTGAAGAATTGCAGCCAAAGTTCCCTTTAGTTTCAGTGGGAGCTCCATGTCCGTGCCTGAGGAGGCAACATCAGCCCCAAGAGACTAACTTCTGTAGTGCCTGCTTGTAACATTGCATTGGACAGTTTTGCCAAATATCCATAGCCATTAAACCGGAGATGCAATCTATCATTTTAAGAGTTACTGCCAACTCCAAATGCACTTTTCTCTCTAAAAATATTTTCTCTCCTGTTGTTACAAAGAACACTCTGACATTAAAACCAAAAAAGGCTATAGAGGAAGAATGACACTTTTTGTTCCTCAGGTTTACTTTGTGCCTTTGACAGCACTTTAATAGACTTTGATTGCTTTCCCCAAGCAGTTGGTTAGTCATGTTCCCCTATCTTTAGGTGTTTTTTATTCTGCAACAGGAGAGAAAAAATAGTTTTTACAAAGGCAGGAAAATATGATTTTAAAGCCATGGAAATTATTAGGGAGACTCATGGGTGAGTGTATTATCTGGAATTAATTTTAATTTCTTTTTAAAATTAGATTATATATCACATTGACAGTGACTCTTTAAGGAAATAAAGCTGTGTTGGCTAGTGAAGGAAAACTGATGATAAACTGTGGCAAATAGAATGGGATTTTGAAACGAGTTGGACAGTGGGTCTCGCTACCCGTTTGTCCATACAAAATATGAGTGGCGGCAATTGGAAACTGGACAAAAGTTAGCTCTGCCACTAGTACTGCTTTCTGCTGTTCCAATTCTGAGTCGGGGAAAATAATTGATATCTAAACCACTAGAAATGCACCAAAATGACCTGTCACAATTAAAAAGAAAAACACCAAGGAAACATTTGTAGACTTTGTCATGTGTTTTTAGATGTTAGTCCGCAGTATACATATAAATCTCCTTGCCTCTATTCCCCCTCCTCCCCACCAAAGATTTTTGGGGTTTTTTGTTTTGTTTTGTTTTCATTTGATCTTGTTTTAAAATTTCATTTAGCTTTAGTCAGGGTCCATTGAAGGATGCACCAAACCTGATCTGTACCCCACATGCAGCCTGGTACAGTGAACAAGCCTCTATCGAGATGCGGGAGGAAGCAGCACGAGAGATCCGGAGGGCTATCACAGGTACTGACATCTCATCTTCACAGAATGTTTTTCACCTAAAAAATGGCTCTGCTGGAGAATTAGACACTGACTTGAGCCAAACTAGGTTTTGTTTAACCAGGGAGAGCTCTAGGCCAGCAAGTATATCTATCACTGCTGTATCCACCATTGATAATTGTCTTGGGTCAGACATACTAATTGCAGTCATAAGTGAAAGTCAGGCAATGGGAAGAAAGTCTTCTTTTCCAGATGTCCACATGTCAGGAACCTCTGACACTTGGTGGCGGTGGTTACTGATGATGAAACCTCTTTGTTCTTTGCTAATGATATCAACTGGTCTTTTTCAAAGGCTTGGATGCAGGTCCGGAGCCATCCTTCTGTAGCCTTTCTTACTGGCACATGTCATCATCTGTTTTATCTTCTTCATTCCTGTCTCCCTTGGCTTCTCTCTACCTTCCAAAATTCATCCAAGTCTGTCTAAAAGGATCTTGGATTCCAGTATTTGAAAGCTCAATACATAGGGATGAAACACTACCTCAACGTCACGCTGTTCATAATAATTGCAGTATCACAACAACCTATTTGACTGGTCTTAGACTTTAAGTCTAGCAGTATGATAACGCGAAGTTGAGGGGTGTTTTTTGTTAAGCCAAACCAAGTCATTTAGCAGTTGGTGGGAGGCACAATATTTTAGAAGATGCTTTTATTTTTAAAGTGTTGCTAAAGTTATCTGGAATTTTAAAGGGTGAAGTCTCTCT